AGGGAGCCAGGGTGATGTCCCCGTGGGGTGCAGAATGATGGGAACTCAGGCGATGTCACCCTGGGGGAGGGGACATCTGGGAGCTGGGGTAATGCCACCTTGGGGAGCGCAATGACCAGAACTGCGATGATGCCATTTGGGGGGATGGGACACCGAAGAGCCACTCTGAGGTGTGGGACATTGGGGACCATGGTAGTGTCACCCTAGGGGCCAGGACAGTGGAGAGCTGGGCCGATGCCACCCTGGGGTGCAGAACAGCAGGGAGATGGGGTGATGTCCCCTGGGGTGCAGGGCGATGGGAACCGAGGTGACGCCACCGGGGGGGATCAGGCCATCGGGGACCGAGGGTTATACTATCCCGAGGTGCAGGACAACGGGAAGCTGAGGTGATACGCGACAGCGACAAGCTGGGGTGCAGAACACCGGGGACACGCCGGTACCCCGGCGGCGCGGGCCACCCCAGCAGACCCCGGTGCCGGGGGGCGTTCCCGGGCGGTGCCGCACAAAGGCCGCCGGTCCCCCCGCCCCGGGGCCAGCCCCGGGGCCGCCCCCGAGCCTCGGCCCAATAAACGCGGCCGCATTTGAACGCGGCGCCTCCCCCGGCCCCGCAACGCTCCGAGCGCTCCGCCAGCCCCGCCGCGCCCGCGGGCACCGGCAGCCGGTGAGCGGGGCCGGGCAGGGGGCGGCTGCGGGAGCGGGGAGGGGCAGCCCCGAGCCCCGGTGCGGGGGCAGCGCTGTCCGCCCCGCTCCGTCCCTCCTCCGCGGGCGGTGCCGGGGCCCGGCCCGCCCCTGCCCGGCCCTTCCCGGCGGGGCGGCCGCGTGTGCGGGGCGCCGGGACGCGCCGGCGGGGAAGGGGCGCAGCGGCGAGGTGGGTGCCTGGGGAAGGAGGGGGTCCGGAGGGTGGCGAGATGCTGGAGGGGAACGGGGAATGCTGGAGGGATGGGATGCTGGGAGCGGGGGGTGATGGAGGGAAGGGGGTGATGGGGATGGGGACTCGTGGCCACGGGGCGCGGCGGTGATTTCAGGGGTGTCTGTGAGTGGGTGCCACCCCAAAGCCCCCCAAGGTCCCCTCGGCGCTGGTGGCAGTGGTCCCGCGGGGTGACAGCTCCTCCTGCCCAGGGCCCCCCATCCCGGCGTGCGTCCCTGCTGCCGGAGGGATGCTCCGAGCGCTGGGAGCGGGTTCTGGAGCGCTCTCGCCGGGCTGAGCCCTGGAAGCAGCCGGCTGTGGCTGGAGGAATTAATAACAGCAGTTGTTTTGTCATCGGCAAAGCTCTCGTTGTCACCAGGGTGGCAGACAGCATCTGCTGTCTGGTCACCAACCGTGGGCCCATCTCCCTTGGAGCATCCCTGTAGGGATGGAGCCGAGGAGAGACAAAATCCACAGACTAGGAGCATCCAGTGCTGGGATTTTCCTGGGTGTAAATTTGGGTGTATCCAGCTCATCTGGGTGCTCCCCAACCGGAGCTGCCGCCGTGATTCAGCAGAGCCCGGCTCCGGTGGAGCCGGCAGCTCCGCGGGGATCACCGAATCCCGCATCACCCGGCGTGCGGGGCATCGCTGCATCCATCACCGGCTCGCTTTGTTTACTTCTGAAATAATCAGCTTTGCGCCTCCACCTTGGGCTTTATCGCACCCCGACTTACTGCGGAGCGACCCCAGCCCGATTCGCAAAATCGAACCAGATGGGCGCTTTGTTTTTCCTTACGGAGGCAAGGCTGGGAGTGAAAAGCCCCATTACAATGCAAATACCGCGCTGGCGTGAATATTCAAACCGCTGCGCTGCTTTGGAAGCTCTTTACATAAATTTATGGCGCTTTTATTACGCCATCGCTGCTTTGCTAATCGGGAGTGGAGCCTGGTTAACAGAGTCGCTGCTCTCTGCCAACTTTGGAGGGTCTGGGGGTGGTTTTGGGGTGCACGGGGAGAGATGGCATTGAGGTGCAAAAGGAAAATGAGTGTGGCCAATGGCCCACAGCTGTAAGGCTGACTCTGGTGGTGACCCTGGAAAAGCTGGGCGTGCTGTCAAGTGATGTACTGACATTAAGGTGCTTCATTGTCCTTTTGGGTTTTGTTTTTCCCTTTGGTTTCTCGGTGTGACCCTTCGTGGAGCTGCTGCTCCAAGAGGGGATGAGGTGTTGCTGAGCTGGAAATTGCCCTGGCACGGTGTGGGGATTTTGGGGTGGACACAGGGACAGGGCACGGAGCTCTACTCTCCGGTGACCGGTGACAGGACCCAGGGAATGTCTGGAGCTGTGTCAGGTTTAGGTTGGATTTTGGGAAAGGTTTCTCCCCCAGAAGGTGCTGGCACTGCCTGGGTTCCCCAGGGAATGAATGGTGACATTCCCGAGGCTGCCAGAGCTCCAGGAGCTTTTGGACACCACTCCTAGGGATGCTCAGGGTGGGATTGTTGGGGAGTCTGTGCAGGGCCAGGATCTGCCCTGGCTGATCCCTGTGGGTCCCTTCCAGCTCAGGGAATTCTGTGATTCAGCAGAGCTGCTGTGATGGATGAGATGGTTCATTAGGGAAGGAGATAATGAGTGTGAGACAACCTCAGCTCTGGCTTTCCCAGAAAAGTCTGGGTTTGGTGGTTGCTGGGCATCTCATACAACCCCAGCATGAAAACCTGGGGTGCTGGTGGATTTTGCCAGCTGTGTTCACATCACCCAGGTTGTCACAGGTGCAGTGAGAAGGGAAAGTTGCTTTAAAGTTGCTTTAAAGTGCCCAAGTGTGGCCGTGCTCTCCAGGACACGGGGGACACTCAGTGACATCCCATGGAGTGCGTGCTTGTGTTTTGGAGTTGGCCACAGGATGCTGCCTCGCTGGGTAATTACTGCTAATTACCAGGCCCTCATTTGAGTCGAGGCAATCAAGAGGAGCAGTAAGAAAAAATTTTCCTCGTTGTCCCTCGGAGGTGATGACTTCAGTGTTGGGATAAGGGCAAGGTACCCATAGCCCTGATTAGTGATGCAGCCCATGGGGGCCCATTTGGGCAGAGCATCCCCAAAATCTCCCTCTTGTGCAGCAGCAAATGTGATTTTTGTATTGTCCTAGAGGAAGGTGTCCCTGCCTGTGCCCGGGGGTTGGCTTGAAGTGGCCTTTAAGGTCCCTTCCAACTGAAGCAACTCTGGGATTCTGTAATTCACACTGTTTAAAAAAACCACCACGCTCTCCCCAAAAAAATAATTGTGCTAATTGTGGTGGTTTTCCTTGCTGATGCCATTGATTGACCAATCTGTGCTTTCATTAGCTCCAGGTTAAAGTTGATATCGATTCCAGGCGCTTAAATATGCAAAGCAGTAATCACTGTTTAAGCCTGCATTGTTTGAGTTAAATTTAGCTGAGAATTTAGTCCTATCGGGCCCCTACATTGTGTGCAGTGAAGGTTATCTGGCTCTCAGGAGGGGGTGGATTTAAAAGCAGGAAAGAAATGCCGGTGAAAACTTCCTCTCCTCATCATCCCGGAGCGCTTTGCTTCCCCGGGCTGGTAATAAGGAGAACAGAAATAAGGAATAATGTGGTGCTGACTCTCCTCAACCTGCACTATTCAGTGCTAGCTGGTCATTTTGGGGGGCTTGAAACAGCACAGAAGGGCAGCAATAAATCTGAACCAAGTGATGCCCTGTGCTGGGACCATCCCCTCTCCTCCTGGCTGGGGATGGGGAGCCCCAGCTCAGCTGCTGCCTGCCTGCCCCTATTATCCTGGCTGCCCTCCTGCATCTCAGCTGCTGGCCCATCTGGAGCAGAGATGAAAGGCTGCCCTTTAATTCGGGCTTTGTGTGCCTCTGGTGGGTCCCCATCCCCGTCACGGCTGCCGGAGGTGCCTCTGATGCTGCTGACCTCATTCCCGTGCCTGCTGGCTGATGCCAGGCTGGCCTGGCCAGCTCCTCAGGTAGGAGAGGAGGCTTTGGGTGGCATTTTTCCCCCCGCTGTGGAAGCGCCGCTGAATAATTCAGGCAGGAGGAGGCATCTTGGGTCACCTTGCGCTGCGTGCCGGAGCCGCCTGCCTAAGATGGAGGTTGTGCAGGATTGCGGGATCGCCGGGCTGCCTGCGGCTCCCCGGGCCTCTGGCTGCAGGTAGGCACCAGCCCTGGCATCCCTGCTCCCTCCTGGAGCTGGGAATCGGGAATCCCTCCCCAGCCCGTGTCCCTCTGGGCTCTCCGGCTGTGGGGATGTGCCAGGCTGCCCTGGCCAAAAACTCACCTGGGCTGTCGGGCAGGGGTGGCCCCCGCAGCTCTGATGCTCTCCTCCTTTAGGGGATTGGGGTTTTCTCGCTGGTTTTGTGGGGTCCCCAGTGCTGGGTTTGCCCACAGTGAGTTTCTGGGCTCTGTGCTGTTGTGGCATTGAGAGGGGTGATCCCAGTGCTCCAGCAGCAGGGATGCTCGGGGATATACTGGGAGGTGGCATTTATCTCTCTGCACTAACTGGGGGAACTGGTTCTGGCAGTGTGGCAGTAGGGTCAGGTGCTGGAGACATCTCTGGGGGGGGCAGGAGGTGGCTGACCCTGAAGAGAAGAGGTTCAGAAATGCTTGGGAAGCTCTGTGGGTTGGAGTCATCTCTGCTGTGAGTTTTGGGGCCGCTGGAATGTGCAGGCAGGGCTCCCTGACACCAGGATCCAGCCACTGAGCAGCCCTGGGGGTGCAGCTGGGGAATGGGGTTGCTGCTGTGGGAATGGGAACAAGTTTGTTGCCTTCCTCCTGCTCGCAGGCACCTGAGTTTTTTGGGTGCTGCCTCCTCCTCTGTGCCCCAGGTGGAATGTGTCTGTGCCTCCCTCCTCCCCCCAGCGCTTGGGTGCCGTGAGAAATCAGCTCAAGAGGGATTTGGAGGGGGGAAAAAATAGGACAGGGAGGGTGTGAGGCTGAGGTGGAGGGGTTGTGTCCATCCATGGAGTGTCCACAGCCATCCCTGCCCGTGGCAGTGCAGGGTCCCTGTCCCGTGGGCTCTGCGTGCTGCCTGTCACCAGATGTGGCATCCAGAGGATGCTCTGCCCTGGCATCTGCTCCTGCAGCCAGGGAAATCAAGGACACGGCTGCTGCAGTGCCTGCCCTGGAGATTTCCTGCCTGGGCTGGGCAGGGCTGTGCAATTGGGCTGCAATTGGAGCAGCTCTGGCACATCCAGGGGTGCTGCTGGTGGCACAGGGAGCCACAGGAACCCTGAGGAGCAGAGGGGGCAGGGCTGGATGGGGGAGGAGGTTTGGGGTAGGAGCCCCTGTTTTGGGAAATGTGGTGACACAACCTGCAGCAGGCACAAAAACACAATTCCCGTGGCTGGCCAAGCATCCTGGGATGCCCAGTTGGGTCCTTGGGACACCAGGTCCCTGCAGTGCTCATTGTCACCCAAGAAGGGTGACAGTGCCTGTTGTGCCCCCAGGGTGGTGGCACAGCCACAGCCAGGCTGTGTGGTGGCACTGGGTGACAAAGCCAGCCAGGAGCCCTGGGCCAGGCTGAACAAACAGCTCCAGCCAAATCCTTCATTTCAGAGAGGAAATTTCCCTCCTCCCCCCTGCCAGAGCAGCTCCTGGGGCCATGACCCTCTGTTAGCAATGGGTGAGGGGGGTGGAAACTTGACTTGGAGGGGAAGATGAAGACTTGAGGCAAATTGTGTGCCTGGTGCAGGACACCAGGTGTGTTTTGGCTGTCCCCACGCTGCTCTGGGTTTGCTGCCTGTCAAACCCTCCCCTGCCTTCAGCCACACCTGACACACCTGGGGGGGAGCAGCACAGGGAGCTCTTGGCAGCTGGGCTGGATCTTGGGAGCTTTTTCCCCAACCTAAAGCATTCCATGATCCCAGCTGTGTTGCAGGGGGGGTTTGTTGTGCTCGTGGAGGGGGTGGCTGCCCTGGAGGGTTGGGCTGGGGTCTCCTGCCCTCCCCTCCTCAGGCAGAGCCCCACGCTTTGCTCCCTGCAGCTGCTGAGCCCTTGTTGGGTTGTTTATCTTCTCACCAAAGCCTCACCTGCAACACCTGGGGCTCACTGGAGCTCAGGGGAACAATTTTCCCCTGCAGCACCTCAGCTGCTGCAGCTGAGCCATGGCAGGAGTCGGCGTGAGGTGACACACAGGGACAGGGACGTGCCACCTGGGCTGTCCCCTCCCGAGGGTTTGGCTCTGCAGGCTTTTCCCCCTGGGTCTTTCTGCTCTGTGACTTCTTCCCCCAGTGGGATGGGAGAGGCTGGAGCAGTTTTGGAGCATTCATGTGAGCAAACACAGCCCCAAACAGCCTGGTGGGCAGCTGCCGTGGCAGCCCTTGGGGGTTTTTTTGCTGTCCCATGCCACCCGTGGTGACCTGGCCCTTCTCTTCCTGCAGGTGAGCGTGGCAGGCTATGGGATGGATGAAGCTGAGCAGGACCAGTATGAAGCTCGCCTCAAGGAGCTCTTTGACAGCTTTGACAGCACAGGCACGGGGTCCCTGGGGCAGGAGGAGCTCACTGACCTCTGCCACGTGCTGCACCTGGAGGAGGTGGCCCCGGCCCTGCAGCAGACCCTCCTGCAAGGAAACCTCCTAGGCAGGGTAAGGAGCTGGGGGCATGGAGGGGGCAGTTCCTGCGTGCATGGAATGGTCTTGGGGAGAGGCTGATGTCTGTGGCTTGTGTATATCCAACGTTCCTGAGGCTCTGGTGCCACAGGACTGGGGTGGGCACAGGACACCTTCCAGGAGCAGGACTGGTGATAACAGGGGAGAGAACTGCTCTGTCTGCCCTGCCTGCAGGTGCTCTGAAACTCAGGAACCAGCACTTCAGGCTGAGCCTTGTGCACTGGTGTGCTTGCCCAGGGTCCAAGGCCAGAGCAAGTCCCCGTGCTGGCATTAGGCTCCTGCTGTGCCCGTGCCCCCAGCCCCGGTTCCTGGTGCTGCTAGCCCAGGTCACCTCCCCAGACCAGCTCACCAGGTGCTTAGACAAACTCTGAGCCACTTTGTCCCATCCCAAGACATAAATCCAGGGCTTGAGCCTGTGATTATGCTGGCTTAAGCTGTAGTTAGACTGGCAGAGCCATGTGCAGTGTTTCTCTAAGGTAGGCAATATTGTCCCACACTGTCTGATCCACCTCTGTCCACGTTGCCTGGTGTTGGTGGCTTCCCAAAGCCATTTTTCAGTGTGGTTTTACCTTTCTGGAGTTCAATCCCGGGCTCTGAGCAGAAGCTGCTTGCCCTTGAGGGGATCTCCACGTTGAGCTGGATGTCCTTGTGTTCTGCATTCCGTCTTTCCCGGCACGCCGTGCTCCGAGTGCATTAGAGCCTTCCCTGGAAATCACCCTGAAATCCCATCACTGCTCATTAAAATCAGGAAAATGTGGAACAGGGGCAGCCAGGGCTTTCAACTGTCAGGCAGCCATCCCAACTCCAATTTCCAGTCAAACTGCAGTTTTCACAAACAAAATAATTCCTTTAGTGATCAAAGGAATTTTTCCTCTTCCCTCCTCTTCCTCACCTGCCCTGGGGCTGTAGCTCTTCTGCTGACAGTGAGTGCAGCTGGAGCTGGGATGGATCCAGGTGGAGGTTGTTGACCTTTAGAGCTGCAGTGTGGCATTTTCTGGAGCACCAGAGACTTTCTGTGCTGCTCTGTTGTCTTGAGTACCTGGCACTTGGATGCTGTCATCAAAGAATCCCAGAATGGTTTGGGCTGGAAAAACCTTACAGTTGATCTTGTTCCAGCCCCCTGCCATGGGCAGGGACACCTCCCACTATCCCAGGTTGCTCCAAACCCATCCAGCCTGGCCTTGGGCACTTCCAGGGATCCAGGAGCAGCCACAGCTTCTCTGGGCACCCTGTGCCAGGGCCTCACCACCTTCCCAGCCAAGAATTCCTTCCCAATATTGAATTTAAATCTACTTTCCTTCAGCTCAGAGCCAATTCCTCTTGTCTTATCCCACCTGGCTTTGCCACTTGTGGGATGGTGGCATAGAGAGGAAGGGCAGGTGTGGCTGTCACAGCTGGTCAGGGCACCAAAACCCCCTGTGAAAACATCCTGAGTGCCAGGTCACACTCACCCCATCCCAACCCCGAGCTCCATCCCTGCAGGGCACGAGGCATCCCATTTTATTTCATTCCCCCTTTGTCTCTGGGGATGCTTCTCCCTTCCAGCCTGCCTCAGAGCCTCAGGAAAATCTGTCTCCTGCCTCTGCTCCCTGCCCCTTAGCAGCAGCAGTGGCCCACGAGGCAGATTTAAATTCAATGGCTCTCCTTGGGGTTTCCTAGGATCTGCTGGGGGGAATATCTCCCCGAGCACAGCCTTGTTGCACCTGCCCCTCCTGCTGCAGATGGTCCCAGCCTTTGTGTGCCTGCACTTCCAGGGGCTGGGATTTATGGGAGGGCACCGGGGAGGGGGGCAGCGGGGGAAGGTTTTGTCTGCTCAGGGGCACCTCTGTGGGGCCACGTGCTTGTCTTTGTGCTGGGGGCTCTGCTCCAGGGATGAATGGATGCTCTGGGATCACAAAAATGTGGGATGGTTTGGGTTGGAAGTCCTGCCCTGGGTAAGGAGTGGGAGCTGGGCTGGCATCCAGAGAGGGGTGGAGGTGCTGCCTGCCCTGTGATGGTTTGGGGATTAGTGGGGTGGAAATCCTGCTCTGACTCGTGGCAGAGCCAAACCCCTGTGGAAGTGTTTTCCTGATGCTCGCAGCAGTTCTGGGATTCCTCAGGGAATGGCAGGAGTGAGGGGATGGGTGTGGCTGTGCCTGGCTGCCCTCTCTGTGCCTTTTAATCACAGCAGACCAGAAGTGTTTGGGGACACTGCTCGTGGGCTGTGACAACCCCGGGCTTGGTCTGGGGTCTGTGTGGTGGAAAAGTCTCTCCTCCAGCCCGAGCTTCCAAAGAAAAACTCTGCAGCCTCTTGTTGTTGGGTCTCAAGGCAGTTTATTGCAAGTTATCGAAAAGATTTTCTTCTGGGGCTGCTGTGGTTTGCTCACAGCTCAGGCAGAGGCACACACACACCCTGACATCCTCTCTGTGTGTGTCCTCTTCTTCTCTCCCCCAGCCCAGGGCTGCTGCGCTCTTTTATATGATATATTACATATTATATGTTTACAGTTTTTCCCCAATACCTACTACCTGTGTTACAAAGTGCTTTTCTACTCTAAACCAATCTGTGAGTGCCAACATCACCAAGAACATGGAGGGAAGGAAGAAGAAGGAGGAAGAACAGGATCAGCCCACTTTCCTCCATCTTAGAACTTCTGAGCCCCATGTACAAAGTAAAAACCCCCCTGGACAGGTGCTAAAACCCCCCTGTACAATACTAAAATAATTTCCCCTCTGTTTTGTAACTACTTCTACTATCCTATCTAACCCTTTTGACTGTTTGGTCCACCTTCAAAGTTGGTAACTCATTCCATGGCTCAAACCCAAAATCACAGCTGTTTGCAGCTGCCTGCCAGGGTCTCAAATGCTTCTGACCAGGGCCTGGACCCTCCAAAAATGTCTGAGGGACATCTTGAGTTC